TATATCGGGGTGGACTAATTAAGGTCAGCTTGGAGACCACATATAGAGATATGCGCTATTTTCTTTATCCCCATTTTATTTAGCACAAAAGCCGTGAACAACATGAAGAAATAAACCCCTCCCCCTCTTTTCGACACCATTTCTGGAGATTTGGTTAAGATACTTCCAAATAAAATTTATTTACGATAATTAGAGTATTCTAATGTGTATTTTGGCACAGAAATAGTATCGTTGACACATGTAAGCTGATATATAACAAGGTCACAGTGACCTACCTATAAACTAGGCGTTACTTTTTCGGCTATTTTTATCATTTGCAGCTTTAGTGTTGCACAATACATCAACATTATGAAGAAAGTTTCGTAAAATAGTATGTAATAGTTTCATGTCATATCATGATGGCATAACCCCAAGGTATGTAGATAGCAATTAGAAGGCCCAAATTGGCACCCATCCCTTGGAAAGGCTTTGTCATATTACTTAATATGTATTGCTGTGTTTTCTTTAGTGAACGTTTCCGCGTGTAAACATGGTTGTATTACCGTGATTTCTGGAACAGGGGAAATAAAATATGTTTATAAGCATGCAATACGTTCTTTTATTTTTAGGCCATACACATTATCAAGTTGTATCAGGTTATAAAGCTTCAGGACAGAGGCAGACTCATAAATTAAATTAAATTAACGCCATATAATCTCGGGATGTAGCATGTAATTTTTGCAGTTTCTTAGAGCTGCACTTTTCGAATTACCAAACGATCACCAAGTTAACGATTTCACACCAAAATACTTAACTAAGTGCACAGAAAAATGGCAAGGACGATATGTGTAACAAAAGCATGGTTGATACAACCCTTAAATGGTCATCTTCACTATTATTTATATTGGATATTAAGAATACAGATCAGTTGATAGCATGAACGGAGTGAAGTAATATGTACTAGGCCAACACCTAGCGTGCCTTATCATCCCTTCACAACTTCACGGACTGACCTACGCTGACCTTACCAATGTAGAGACTATGGATGACTCGACGGACAATAAAAGAAGTAAAACCAGTGTGACAATTCTAAAGGAGTAGCTTTTCAATAACAATTCTGAAGAATTTATTGAGTAGAAAATTGACATTTTGGTTTTGTACATATACACAGACTAAATCTAACGATACACAGTATGAACAAACCTTTCCAAGTCAGCTCGTAATATAGATATACATAATTATACTTGTAGTTTATAGCTAATAACTCATTTTTGTCTTTAAAACAATATTTTTAATGTTGATTTTCCAGTATTTATCTAATTTAGACTCAAATTGTTTAACTGTCATTGTCTTTGATTGTAAATAAGTCTGTAACTTCTTTGTTATATTTTCCCGAAATATTGCACCTTTATCATGTAACCGAGGTTTCAATGCTTCCGCTAAGAGTCGAACCTCGGACCTCTGTCTTACTAGTATTACGCTCTCCTGGATGAGCTATATATAAGATAAAATTCTCCCTAGCGGAGTTGGTAGGAAGGTAAAATACCTGGGTGCCAATCATATCACCACGTGATCTCCTTTACGTTTATTAATATCTGCAAGCTTCTAATATATGAAAATGGTGACTTAGTTTTAGAGACCTTCGGCAGCGAGAGTCTTTCGTATTTATGAGACATTGATCAGGAAGGGATCACTGATCCACTGCCCCACCCATTCTTTGATTTTATTTACAATTTCCGGCATATGATCTGGTTTTAGTACTAAACTGGGCCCTCATCAAATTAAATGAAAAATTAGAAAGTAATTGAAAAGTATTTTTGTTTTTGAAGTCTGTCACAGGGAAACATTTAAAAATTTACTGGTTGATATGTTTCATTTAAAACCTTTCACAAAATCGTGTAAAATATGCAGCAATCTATTTATCGCGTTGATAAAACATTTTCATGGAGGTTTGAAAAAATATACAAATTTACTTTGTTTAAAGACTTGTCAGCTTTATATGAGTAGTTATCAAATATTTTCAAAAATACTTTTTCGAGAAATATCTTCAATTGAACATATATTATACTTTTCTTGTCGTCGAATAGTACTTTTTATCTCTATAAATGCAGTTTTATTTCTGAGTTTAATAGATTTTTTAATATATAATCTACATCAATTAACTGTAAGCTTACCAGGCTTTGAACAACTTAGTCCAGAACAGCAGCATCTGATCAATAACTATCAAGCATGCAGTTTTTACGACAACCCGTTTACAAACAACTTTTGTCATAAATGTAAATAAATCATTACGATGCAGGAAAATATCTAACATCATCGTCATTGTCGAAATAATGTTGCCTAGGACATCTGATCGACGATTACCGTCCTAGTTCTAAACGATAAAGATACAAGCTTCCATATACAAGGGAGCATGTGGGTACAAAATTAGCAAGTCGAGTGAGGTTCACGTATTCAACAAGGACCATGGCGGAGACAAAAATAAAACAGGACAAAATTTGCATTGTGGGAAGGTAAGATTGGTGAAAATATACCTTTGAACAATGATAACGATTAATTTGTTGCAGCATAAAAAAATATTGAACTTGATGATTAATATCCTTATCGAAAAACATATCATTAAACATTAAAATCACAGATGTCGGGTAGCCCGAGTTTCCTCTGGCTCTAACACCAGACTTAGACATTTGGACATATAGATGTCTGGTGTGGGATACATCTATATGTTTATATGTCTAAGTCTGGTGTTAGGGTCAGAGGAAACTCGGGCTTAGTTGTCTGGTGTGGGACACATCCATATGTTAATATGTCTAAATCTGGTGTTAGGGCCAGAGTAACCTCGGGCTAAATTGTCTGGTGTGGGAAACATCTATATGTTGATATGTCTAAGTCTGGTGTTAGGGCCAGAGGGAACTCGGGCTAAGTTGTCTGGTGTGGGACACATCTATATGTTAATATGTCTAAGTCTGGTGTTAGGGTCAGAGGAAACTCGGGCTAAATTGTCTGGTGTGGGACACATCCATATGTTAATGTGTCTAAGTCTGGTGTTAGGGCCAGAGTAACCTCGGGCTAAATTGTCTGGTGTGGGAAACATCTATATGTTGATATGTCTAAGTCTGGTGTTAGGGTCAGAGGAAACTCGGGCTAAATTGTCTGGTATGGGAAACATCTATATGTTAATATGTCTGAGTCTGGTGTTAGGATCAGAGCAAATTCGTGCTAAATTGTCTGGTGTGGGAGACATCTATATGTTAATATGTCTGAGTCTGGTGTTAGGATCAGAGGAAACTCGGGCTAAGTTGTCTGGTGTGGGACACATCTATATGTTAATGTGTCATAGTCTGGTGTTAGGGCCAGAGGGAACTCGGGCTAAGTTGTCTGGTGTAGGACACATCTATATGTTAATGTGTCTTAGTCTGGTGTTAGGGCCCGAGGGAACTCGGGCTAAGTTGTCTGGTGTGGGACACATCTATATGTCAATGTGTCGAAGTCTGGTGTTAGGGCCAGAGGAAACTCGGGCTAAGATGTCTGGTGTGGGAGACTTCTATACGTTATATGTCGAAGTCTGGTGTTAGGGCCAGAGGAAACTCGGGCTAAGATTTCGGGCACGTGTTCATCATCAAACATGTATTAATGGTAGAATTATATGTATAGTCATAGATCAATAGCACTACTTTGGCACGGGATATATTGAAATTGATTCTAACCGTATGTGTAAAATTTGTGCTAAAGATAGAGGTTAACCAAGGTTCTATTACCAAAGTCTATAATCGAGCGAAGAGTTTTCCCCTTTACTTAATGACTCTTATTCTACCGGCTCTTATCAGAATTTTAAGTAAAAATGTCGAATGACATTGTGTAAACACAACATGAAATATCGATGTTTATTTCAGATAACGTACTAATTCACCCAGAACATATTAAGAAATAGCAGAAAGTAGTATGACATACCGAGGACATACTTAACATTCACAGAAGTCTTCAAAAGATTTACGTCAAAGCTGGTTGAATTATTTTATATATATACGAATTACACGAGGCAATTTGTTGTCATCATTTTAATCTACTTTTGAGGGATATATTTTTTTCGCCGATTAAAACGATAACTGAATGATTTCACGTATCAAAGGGCCGGTTTCCAAAACGGCCCCTTCTCTGATTCAAATTNAGAAACATCACGTTTCAGAATGCCAGACGGTCATGTCATGTTAGTCATGACATGAAGTCATATATCCAGCACGAGTGTCCTATATCATTCTGATGTGTGTGAAAGATAGAAACTGTCAAATGTAAAGATAACAATACATGCTACTGTTAGCTTACATTGACTACTTTCTTTATATATGTATGACAGTTTTGAGTTAATTTTGTGGTCAGTAATGTTCATTCATGTGGTTATTCATATAAGATATAAAAGAAATAAAGGATTTTTAAAATGTTTTTAAAAAAAATGGCAAAAGCACATGGTAAACAAGTTACTCATGTAGTTCTAGTGTAAATGGCCTTTTATACCGACAGCGGCATTGTAGTTTAAGGGTATCCAGAATTCATTTCGATGGATATTTTTCTTGTACAAACTCATATACAAAGTTATCGAAGCGTGAATAGGATTAGAAATTTAGATATTTGAAAGATATCACCGTTCAAATGAAAATGCAGGTCGATAGATAGACTTTCTGCCTGATGGATCACCCACTTGGTATAAATATCCCGTCGCCTGGAATTCTCAATCAACCTCCATTGCATTACAGAAGAATGTTAACAGAGTCTTGTATCATAAATTTTTTTATGATAATAGTGCTATTTATGAACATTAATTTAACATTTCANGCATGGTGTAGAGGTACATACTATTGATGGCTTTAAACATACTTTATTGTAATAATGAGATACTTATTCGGCCTTGTCAGTAAACATGAAAGAGTGCAAGAAAATATTCTTACAAAATTATATAGATGTTATATGTACGTCCTCTCAATATAACTGGGCAATATTGGAGTCCGTTTTATTTTCGCCAATTTTTATGTGTTAATGTAAATTGGGGTTGATCCATATATCGAGAGGATGAACTATTTATCTATCTGATAATATATATTGACGGTGATCGAGATGTTGCGGGTGAGTATTGATAAAACTATTAACTAACATGAACAACATGACATATATTTAAACTCATCAGTGTTTCGGCAACCAGATACCAATAATGATTGATAAATTAATTTCGGGTTTGAAAAATTACGAATTTGAACAAATTTCTTATGTACAGTAGCCACATGAAATTGGTCTAAATTTATTTACGAGCAGTTTGTAATAAAACAAAATCAAAGGGGAAAATTATTTTAGATTGCTTCTTTGATAAGAATGATACTTTGTTGCTCCTGAAATAATAATGAAAATAGTGATATTTTGACGGATGACCATGGAACAAGGTATGAAATCGACCATTGGAATTCATGAATGACATTCGAAACACGCCTCCTGGCGAAAGGACCATGAGGATTAAGGTTTGTTTGTTTGTTTGGGGTTTCATGTCCTTGCAACATACAGGGTGATATCAGGATCGGTGATTAGGAGAACAGAATGTAGACAGGAAAGACAGGGAACGAAAACGAACTGAAGTATTGCAATGGGGAAAGCAGATCAATTTTGGTCGTAGAAGACCCAGAAGAAGAAAAAATAAGGATTTCGCATGCTCATTGGGTCTAGTATGTTGAAAACTAAAATAAAGTATAATGCCTCTCGTTACATTTTTCACAGCGATGGCCGAAACTTTAAATCCCTCCCTTTTATCTCTGTATTTCATTTCTTCATAACCAATTTCTTCGATGCATCAACACATTTCTCTTAAAAAGCCTAATTCATCATCAGTATACAGAATTCACTGCAACATTAAAGGATATATGTTCTGATGGTTGGGTTTTGTAATTGTTAGCGCACTCGCTCTTTTTAAAAAGACGGCCGGGGTTTGACTCCCCAATTGGTCACAATGAGCATTTGGTCACCTGCTTGACGTCAATGGCTTTGTTTCTCCTCGTTCCCAAGTTTCCTTCCATGTTATTATCCCTTGCACGCTTTCAAAATTGATAAATGATGTTGTATGGCTTTGGTAAAATTGCAATAAACTTTAATGATTTGAAGTATACATATTGTAGTGGACTGATAGGGCGGAGCTTCGCCATGTTGTTCGCGGCATCAGGCTACCAAGTCTACCTGTACGACATCCAATTGGCCCAGGTGACGGACGCTCTGGATAACATACGAATTCAGTTACTGAATCTGGAGGGGATGGGACTCCTGAGGGGAACATTGACCGTGGACCAGCAACACAGTTGTATAAAAGGGGCCTCAGACCTTGGCGAGGCAATCAAGGGCGCGTGGTTTGTTCTGGTGAGACATTTTCTCCTTTTCAGAAACTTCAATGCTATACATATTCATTATTATGTTTTACGGACCGAATGTGGGGGATTGCCGGTAATTTGTTCTGGTGATTTTGACGTACGAAGGTTTGACAGAAAAATCTCAATGGTAGAGGTGATAAACTAATAGTCTTGGTTTACAGGGGTAATCTCACTTGAGGAATGATATTTCTCTCGTATTCCAATCAAGCTTATCGAAATATCGATAGTTAATTTTCAAATTGTAAAAATAAAAAAATCTCCAGAAAAATCGTTACATATATACTTTTCAAAATGTGATCAGTTTATAGATTGGGTATGGACTAAATGTTGAAATAACTTTACAATGTATGAACTGGAAAAGATTGTTTTTATTGGGAACCAAATTCTACGCGTTGAAAGAACAAAGACGTGTTATTAAAGTCTATTGGGTGGTCGGGTGGCGCAGTGAATAACGCACTCACCTTTCAACACGGAGGCGGGGTTCGATTCCCCGATCGGACGTGAAAAGAGTCACCTGCTCGACAATGTGGGCTTCCTTTTTCCGGGGTACTCCGGTTTCCTCTCACATTAATACCCCCACTGCGCGCAAACACCCGGGACAACAGGAGTTATTAATATAAGTTGAAATAACTTGTTTTATATGGGGGTTTTTTGTAAAATAAATAAAGTTTATTTTTTATGTAAATCGATTGAACATACTACCGAATCTTTTTTCACAGGAGTGTGTTCCGGAGAGACTAGACCTTAAGACAGTTGTATACAAGAGTATCGATCCCCTTCTTGAACCCAACGCGATTTTAGGGTCCTCTGCTAGCGCCCTCGTTCCATCCCTCCTTTCCAAGGACCTGAAAAACCGGAACAGGTTTATCGTCGTACATCCGGTAAGTTGCATCACCAGGGTGCACGAGTTTATACTACTAATTAACTGTAATACTTACGCTGGTCCCTGTGGTTGCTTGTCGATGTGTCAATTTGGGCAATTAATATTCTGCTAAAAAATTACTCACGTACATATATGTATCAATATTTTCATAATATAATTTGTATATGATATGGTTATAACATATATTCATCAAGCATAAATAAGATAAAAGAAGAAACCAACGACCGATTTATTATGCAGATTGCGTTAAATTTTAATATCCAGCTTATATTTTCAATAATAACCAACTTCTATGACACTGTGTCTAAAGAATAATGCCATTCTGTACTATAATTCATCTAGACGAACCCTCCGTTCTACGCACCTTTGGTAGAACTGGTTCCCGCGCCCTGGACGGACGCTGATGTGTTGCCTGCCATCAAAAGCTTGTGTACAGAGATAGGACAGGCACCAGTCGTACTGAACAAGGAAATTGATGGCTTTGTTCTCAACCGGATACAGTACGCCATCATTGGAGAGTGCTGGAACCTCGTTAAGGTATCGAACGTGATCTTATATGTCTTCATCACTCGGAACTTCTCGACCGATTCATCTACGTTGGAAGGAACTGTAATCGGGGCGAGGTGTTCCGAATGATATCTTCATATCTGATATTTCTATGACGTGTGCTTTGAAATAATCAATTGATTAATACAATTCGGGATATTTACGCAAGTTTATTGGCGCGATTTATTTGATTTTTTTCAAAATGTATGGTTATTTTACAAAATGTACCATGAAAATAAATTGTGTTCCCAAAAAATCGAATTCCTTATTTGAATTGGTAATGGAGCTAGCTATAGACACGACAAGACACGACTGTAATATATTATCATAGATACGGTAATTGATTATATTCTTTTAATTTATTATTCTCGGTCCATTGTCTAATTGACCCATATATCGTGTTTAAGGCGGGAGTAATGAGTTCTGAGGACGTAGACAAGGTCATGTCAGAGGGACTGGGGAGAAGGTACGCCTTTATGGGACCTCTGGAGACAGCATACCTCAACGCAGACGGTAAGGTGCTACCTATTACAAAAACAAAGGCCTCGGTCACAAACGCTGGTCAAAGTACAAGTGGTGTGTCCTTTATCTAATTTTATGTATTTTCGCGCCTTGAACCTTAAAATGTTCCGAAGAATCAGCTTAATAACTTCTGCTTAATATTTTTTATGAATTTTGTAAATTTGAGCATCTCCCTAGATATACAGAGAGGCATTCCTTTTTCAAATGCATAGAATTAATGTTAATCATTGTAACTGTAAGTATAACGGCTATTGTAGGTTGGTTGAGTTATAAAGATCGTTATGCAGAAATGATGGAACGTGTGACGTCAAACTTTGAGCCCTTCCCGAAGATAGAGGGACCGACGTTACAAAAGATACACGACGAGTTCGCAAGGAAAATCCCCTTAGACCAACTCGATGCTCGCAGAGAGTGGCGGGATGCAAGATTAGCACAACTATCTAAACTCAAAAAGGAAATGGACAAATGAATAAAGTTTTTATTAGTTCAATATTAACATCGTTTAAATACGTGTACTGTTGAATAAAAATATTCTTTTGAGCTTGTGATTATATCACGAATCAGACTTATCATTTAGTTCAATAATTACAACGTTTAGATTTTTCGATTGTTGAACAAAAACCTTCGTTTTAGCTTGTGATCGTACAGATACATGCTTGAGTACATAATTCCTTATCAAAGAACAGTATATAATGTATGTATGCTTTATTACTAATAAACTAGTAATATACCAGCAAAAATTACATAACAAAAACATTATGCATTCCTTTTTATTATTCTTATTAAAAGAAATATCAAGAGATTTTCCTGGAAGTTTCTCGTTACAACAATAGTTGGTTCATGAATTTATCATTTTCAATTCGTTTAGTTTAAACATATTTTATTGTACAAATATACAAATGGATCGGACAACAAGTTATTAAAACTTAATGAGTCCTCTCCTCAATACATATTGTAAAAATAGTGTATATGTTTTTGGGGAAAGGGAAAAGATAGGCTGAGGAAGGAACTGTGGGGTGGGAGGGGGTGGGGGTGATGGAGGGGAGGGGTGTTACCTAGAAAATTAAACTTGTAAACTGAGAAAT